GGCACACACCATCATGCTCAGCTAATTTCTTTTGTATTTTAGTAGAGACTGGGTTTCACCATGTCGGCCAGGATAGTCTCAATCTCCTGACCTCATGATCTGCCCACCTCAGCCTCCCAAAGTGCTGGGATTACAGGTGTGAGCCACCAAGATTCTGCAGCTGGGCGCAGTGGCTCATGCCTGTAATCTTAGCACTTTGGGAGGCCAAGGTGGTGGATCACCTGAGGTCAGGAGTTCCAGACCAGCCTGACCAACATGGAGAAACCCTATCTCTACTAAAAATACAAAATTAGCTAGGCGTGGTGGCACATGCCTGTAATCCCAGCTATTTGGGAGGCTGAGGCAGGAGAATCATTTGAACCCAGGAGGCGGAGGTTGCAGTGAGCTGAGATAGATCGCGCCATTGCACTCCCGCCTGGGCAACAAAAACAAAAACTCCGTCTAAAAAAAAAAGATTCTGCAAGAAAAAGACCTTTTACCTGAAGTCTGTAGTACAGAGAAATGGGCCTTCCTGTGTCCCCATACAGGAGATGTCCCCACTTCAGCCATCCACAACACATGAGGCTGTATCTGGGCCAGGCTTTCTATAGGCCCTGGAAAATCAAATCCCCCAAGTGACCCTGGGGATCATTTAGCCCTCCCTTATTTTATAAATGAGGAAACTGAGGCCAGAAGCAATTATCAGAGCTCATGATCCTTCACTCCCAGACCAGTATTCTTCACTCCAAATTTCCACTGGCCACATTTGGAATTAGTGGGAATTTCAGAGGTTAGCCTTTTCTGGTAAAACTGGAGAAAAAAATAAAAGACAAAATATTCTTGGTAGAAGTCTAGTCTTACTAAACTACCTTTCTAAATCACAATCTAACAAGAATGCTTCAAGCTAAATAAAGGAAGCTGAAAATACTCCTTTTCACTGGAGAATATAATTTTGCTTCAGCCACAATTTAAATTGATTTAGTTCTGAGCACCAGCACTTGAAGTGTGGAACATATTCTATTTTCACCATGATACTTGTTTTGACAGTGATGCATTTCAGTTGACATAGTTGAAATCCTTATGTAATAAATCTCTGCCTGAAAATTAATCATGTTTATAATATTCTGAGAATTAATAACACCCATTGCTCAAATCATTAACTTAAAAAAGGAGCTTCCAAAATCTGTTCTCGGCAGTAAGGGACCACAAATAAATGAATGTTTGATAAAATAACCCAAGTAGCAGTTTAACAAGCGTAAACTTGAATGTGGCTGCAATAACACAGAACTATTGTTTAAGGGTTGGCAGAGGCTGATGAGGTTCTTATTTCAGTTACGAAGCAGGCATCCACATGCATAATGAACTGCTCTCTGAATTATTAATGTGTTGCTTATTTAGCCTCATCTGTCTAGAAGATAATGTATCCTAACTCTAATGAGTGATTGGTTTTGTACATAATTACAGTAGCAGCAGTAGCAGGGAAATGTGTGCCTTCAAAGAAGGAGTTCTAAAAATAAAGTCATCACATAAACTCTGTTGCTGTTGCATTCTATCAAAATCAAACCCGAAACATTTGAGAATTTATAATAAATTACAGAAGACAGAATCATTATTAACATCATAATTTAACACAAAAGGTTTTACTTAATCATTCATTACAGATCATGTGCTGCTAAAATGTGTATAAATGACTTGGGTTGTGTTTGCGGAGATGTTCCCTTTTGGACAGTCACCAACCGTGGTCTTTCAGAAAGAGAGAGGAAGAGTGAAAACTGACAGAAGAGGGTAACGATGGATGCAGCTTGGACAGAACGTTAATTGAAAGTTAAAACATTGTTAGGCGATTCCTTTTCATTTCTAAAACATGCACGTCTGGGATGATTTATCAGGCCTTGTTCACACACGTTCCAGTTGTTCTTTGCGGAGGTCAGTGAATCAGAAACCCATTCACCTGGTCTAAGTGGGTCTGAGTGACACTTCTGCCACCTGTTTCTGAGATGAGACAACTCTCTGAGAGTCCAGGAAGGTGTCTGCTTTCCTCCTATACAGCATATTATTAAAGAAAAGGGCCCACACTGGAAGCATTTTATAGGCACTAGTTCTGAATGCGCTCTCATTATCAGTGTGGTTTCATCTGTGCGTTTTCTTTTTCTTCAATCTTCAAAGGGGTTTATGATCACTGCCTGATCATAAACTTGATGGCATCATAGTCTGCTCACCCTTGTTCAGAGGCTTCGATTTGCTTGTGAATTGGGCTGTGTGTGCCTGTGCACATGCTTCTTTTAAAAAAAATCCCTGAGCATGTGTGTATACATGCACAGGAGCATGTGTGCACAACACAGACACAGTGGCTCAAGGCTGGGAACATCTGTTTATATCTTTCTAAAACTAAAAGTGTGTTCTCAATTTATTCCTACATCAGAAAACCTACATAGCTTTTCTCCCGTGATCGAAGAGGCATTTGCCTTATTGAAGATCATAACGCCTCCCTTTTGTACACATAGAGTTTCTAAAAGTGTTTAAGACTTGATCACAGGAGAGTGTTGCCTATAGCTCGGAATGAAACCTATAGGCCACATGGGGATAGTGGGACAGTGCTTCTCATTCAAAGCCCAACTTCTGCTGACAGCCTTCTGAAGCAACATACTTAAAAGCTGCAATTTATTGTCTTTGGAAATTGGTGCTGAATATCACTTTGCTTCCAGCTTTTTAGTTTTATTTTATTTTATTTTTGTTGAGACAGAGTCTCACCCTATCACCCAGGCTGGAGGGCAATGACATGATCATGACTCACTACAGCCTCAACCTCCAGGGCTCCAGTGATCCACCTGCCTCGGCCTCTGCAGTAGCTAGGGTTACAGGCATGCCTCACCAAGCCCAGCTAATTTATATATTTTTGTAGAGACAGGGTTTTGCCACGTTCCCTAGGCTGCTCTCAAACTCCTAGGCCAAATGATCTTCCCACCTCGGCCTGATTACAGGGGTGGGATTATAGGGGTGCTGGGATTACAGGGGTGAGTCACCATGCCTGACCCTCAGCTTCTTGCAGAAATGACGGAGAGTTAGGTTCACTGGCCAGAAGGGCTCAAGTGTCACTGCTGTCTCTCCCTCTAGCATTGAACATAGTGTCTCGCACGTCCCTCGGGTTAGGATGGAGGCCACAGGTGGAGTTGGACCTGAAAGCCTCTTAGCAGGGTCCTGGTCATAATTAAAAGAGGTCTGTTCCTCCTCTCCAGCCCAATTGTGCTTCATTTCTTACAAGGAACGAGATCAAGGGGATTTCTGTGAGCAAGGTCCTTCCTGGTACCTCACTGGATGGGAGGGGGAAGAAGGAGGCTGCCTGAGCACCGCCCCCCACAAGACATCAGGTGCTCTCCTTTTCGTGACTGCAGAGATCCTGGGAAGAGTCAAAGATTACTCAAATCCAGAGGTGTCTCCTGGACCCAAAGGGGTTCATCAGACAGGCAGGAGACCACTTGGAAAAGGCATCTCTGGGACATTTGTGTTGGGTCTCTTTATTCACCAGAGTTTCTCTTTTATCTGTTTGACATATTTGGATTTCAAGTAGAGCTTCGTTTGCAAAAAAAAAAAAAAAAAAAAAGAAAAAAAAATCAACAACAAAAAACAGCGCGAAGCCCACTGTTCTAAGAGAAGGCCCAAGAAACCCTCTGGCAGCTGTGAGGGCAGCGTGGCCACAGAGTCCTCAATACACCCTTGCACAAAGGGCATCTGGTCCCCTTGACCTTTGTTCTCGCTCTCCATGATCGACCTCGCCTGTCCAACCAAGTACCCACTGTCCCCACAGGTCTATGCCCTTTGTTACTCAGGGTGCTGAGGTTCGTAACCTGCAGCCAGCCCCAGAACTCTGGCCCCAGCCCCATCACCGATGGTGCTAGCGATGAGAAGGGAGGCGGTAGCTGTGGGAAGAGGCGGATCATGACGGGGCTCCTTAAGCAAGCTGGGAAGTGGGATTTTCCTGAAGATCACAGGAGTCCATTGAAATCACACACACGGGAACAACACACTCAGGCTGGCTTTTCAGCTTGCCACCTTGACTGCTGTGTCTGTTTAGGCTGAAGGAACAGATGGGGCAGGGAATCTTAGTGAGGAGGAATACAGGTGTGAGATGGCAAAAGCTGAAACTAAGACACTATCTTTGTGCAGAGAGGAGGGGTCAGGTTAGTGGCATCTTAGCAGTTAGGCTCAACACGACCTGCTTGCGGAGGGGATGTGGGACTGGGGGTTATCTAATCAGCCTCTGGCTTGACGACCCACTAACAGGAAGTACAGGAAGAATGACAATGCAATGCAGTTCTGGAGGATTCTTTTTTTGAGACGTAGTCTCTCTCTGTCACCCAGGCTGGAGTGCAGCAGTGGGGTGATCTCTCTCAGCTCACTGCAACTTCCACCTCCTGGGTTGAAGCGACTCTCCTGCCTCAGCCTCCCAAGTAGCTGGGCGTACAGGTGCATGCCACCAGGCCCAGCTATTTTTTTTTTTTGTATTTTTTTTTTTAGTAAAGACGGGGTTTCACCATGTTGGCTAGGATGGTCTCCAACCTTTGACCTTCTTATCCACCTGCCTCAGCCTCCCAAAGTCCTGAGATTATAGGCATGAGCCACTGCGCCCAGCCAACTCTGAGGATTCTAAGCAGAGATGTTCCATAGGATTTTGGACCTATGAATCTGAAGCTCACAAAAGAGAGTGGGACTAGAAAAATATGGGTTTTGTGAGAAACAGCTGGTAGTGGAGGCAATGGGTGTAGGTGTACCTGCCCAGGGAAAGGAGAAGGGAGCCCCACGTTCTTTCGCACTTCCACAGACTGCAGCTTTGTTCGGAATGCCTTCCCCCTTTCCTCTGGCCAATACATTCACATTCCCAGACCCCGCTCAGACAGGCCCAGTGACTTGCCTGAGGCCCTTTCTTCTTCCTGTACTCAAAGGGCCTGGCTCCTAGACAGGGCTCAGGCAGTGGCAGTGAGTGCTGCTGAACCAGGAACCTTCAGGAAGCATCTCTTGCTTACCGGCACTGACAGCCCACTAATGCGGTTGCTTTTCTTCTTTTCCTTTGGAATGAAGCGGGGCACTTCAAGGGTGTTCAAACTGCAGTCCAGATGGCCGTTTGTCAGGTATAAGGTGAGCTGAGTCAGGGCCAGCTGGTCACTATAGGCGAGGTTAAGGCCCGTTGCCCACACCTGATTAAAACAGGAGATGTAGAAGTGAGGTGAGGGTGAGATCAGCACACAGTAGTGAGGGCCCCAACTCTGCCTAACTAGACCAAACCACATCAGTGGCCACATGTCTTAATTGAGTAGATGTTTCCGCTTCTGTTTCTACATTGTGCAACTGGAAAATGGAGTCTGATTCTCATCAGAAGATTCGAGGTTCTTGCAGGAAGTTACAGAAATACTCGGCTAAGACAACAGAGATGCCGAGTCTCGAAAAGCTCATGTTGACTTTGATTTTTCTGCCCATGGCCTACAGGTCAGTGCAGCTGGTCAGTGCCAGGTTTTCTACTGAGAAAATGCAGCTGGACAGAAGCTTCAGAGAGTGGGAAGCTACAGTAGAGCAGAAAGAGGGGAAAGAGTGACGAATACGAGAAAGGCCAGTTTGCCCCGATTTTGGAAAAAGCCGTGACAGCCCCTCTGGGAACCTCAAGATGATATTTAAGGGAAATTTATGGTTGGCCTCTAAGTCTTAGGTCTGCCCCCATTTTCTCATGAGTGCAGGGTAATCTTATTTTACCAATCCTACAACCTCACAGTATTCTTAATTGTCAATTGGTAATAATACCTTATCCTACCTGTAACACAGTGTTATTAGAAGAATAGTATGATGTAATAAAAATAAAAATGCTTTAAAAAATAGATGTTAGTTACAAGTTAATGTTAACTGCTAGGCAACTGAGTAATGTCCATTAATTCCTTTAACAAATATTTACTGAGCATCTACTATGTGCTAAACTGGCAATGATAAAAGGAGGTCACATGTTACTTCTTCCCTCTCCTGTGGAAATCAACCTTCATTGCGCTTGTCATCCTCCATCCTCATAATGAATCCAGAAGCACCCCCGGAATCCTCCTCAGTTCAGTGTTCAAGGGATATCATCGTCCCAGTCACTGGAGAGTCAAAGGTAAATAGGCATCGGCCCTGCCATCAGGAAGTTGAAGACAGGCTGGACACAGTGACTTATCCCTGTAATCCCAGCACTTTGGGAGGCCGAGGCGGGACCAGTCTGGCCAACATGGCAAAACACCATCTCTACTAAAAATATAAAAATTAGCCAGGCATGGGAGCATGCACCTGTAATCCCAGATACTTGGGAGGCTGAGGCATGAGAATCACTTGAACCCAGGAGGTGGAAGTTTCAGTGAGCCGAGATCACACTACTACACCCCAGCCTGGGTGGCAGAGCAAGACTCCGTCTCAAAAAAAAAAAGGTGAAGACAGATACATATCCAATTAAACAATACAGTGTTATATATAATAAAATAATGAGATGTACCAAAGTACTGTTGAAGCAGAAAGAAAGGACAGAATGGGTTTGTCTAATGACATCAGGGCTGCATCATGAAGGTGACATCTGAGCTTTAAACAAACAACAAAAACACGACAGGCCCCATGTATCAAGTACCTACAGGTTTTATGAAGCTGGGTGCTTCATAAACATCTCAGATCTCTCTGGCAGCCTGAAAAATAACAAGCCCATGCCACAGATGAAGAAACCGAGGTTCAGGGAGGTACCCAAGTCCACTGAGTTAGGAAGTGGTGGTGTTGGGATTTGAATCCAATTCTACCTGGCTCCAAGTCTACCCTCTTCCCATTTCCTGATCCTGGCCCAGCCAATCCTTATCCTGTGTAATAATTCTCCAGCGAAATTAAAAGCTAAAGTTGCAGAGGATCAGAACATGTTTGTGTTTAACAGAAGACATGCCATGAAAACGTCTTGTGTAGAAACATGAAGTATTTCTGGAGCATGCTGTAATTAGCAGTAATGCATTTTCACTGTAGGAAGTTGGAAACTAACACATTTTCATGAAGACTTGATTAAACAGTTTTTCCCTCTTAGAAGGCCTACATTCGCCCCACTCACCAACGCTGTGTGTTAAAATACATAATACATCTGCCCTAGAGTGGACTCCTCTCAAACAAATCTAGCAGTGAGTGACTTGAGTAAGCATTGAATGTAAATGGCATCATTATAAGGATATTAAGAGGTCAAGCTGTCAAGGCCCCTTGCTAAACTGAAGCTAATTTCAGGAGTCATATTCGCACAGTAATGCCCGTTTATAATAGCAAATAAATCACATTTGCAACAATTGTTAAAACTAACTGCCAAGTATCTGTTCCAGTTGTAAATATCCTATTTGTCAACTTAAATATTTCCTGCTGTATGGCATGAAATGTAAATCAGATGGGGACAGCTACTTTCCCTTAATATGAGAAAGTGAACTTGCTATTCTTGTATGTCAGACTTTATTTTTCAGAGTTTCTATTTTGATGTTTTAATGTCCTTGGTCAAAGGGAAACATATGTCACAAACATTATGAATATTTATGTTAATAATATTAATGCTTTGGTAATAAGGATTTTAATAAGAAGGCAGCACAGTGTAGGGAAAGAGTGAGAACCAGGCAGTCAGAGAGCTGAAATCTGGCCCTCACAGTGGGAAATGGAATGAGTTGGTTAAGCTCTCTCAATCTCAGTGTCTTTTTTTTTTAGCTTTTAATTTATTATTATTATTATTATTTTTGAGACAGAGTCTCACTCTGCTGCCTAGGCTGGGGTGCAGTGGTGTGATCTCACCTCACTGCAACCTCTGCCTCCCAGTTTCAAGTGATTCTCTTCAACCACAAGAGAATCATGTGCCACCACACCTGTCTAATTTTTATATTTTTAGTAGAGACGGGGTTTCACCATGTTGGCCAGGATGGTCTCGAACTCCTGACTTCGTGATCCGCCTGCCTCAGCCTCCCAAAGTGCTGTGATTACACGAATGAGCCACCATGCCCGGCCCTTAAGTGCAAAAGGAGCAAATGATACTACTACACAGGATTTTGGAAACAAAATAAATGCACATTAAATTGCCTTATAAAGTTCAGTACAGGCTGGGTGCGGTGGCTCACACCTGTAATGTCAGCACTTTGGGAAGCTGTGGGAAGATTGCTTGAGGCCAGGAGTTCGAGTTCATCTTGGGCAACATAACAAGACCCCAACTCTATTTAATAAAAATAGGGAAATAAAATTAACTAAACAAAAAAAAGTTCATTACACATGCTTTTTATGATTACTAATCATTTCCTTTCAGAGCAAATTCTTAGGAGGCACATTGTCCGTTGTCTATGTTAGCTATTAGCTCACCCCTTTAATAACTGTTTTCCCCACATGTAGTTGTTCTATTCAACCTCACAACGACTCAGTCCAGGGGTGGGTAGGTTTGTGCAAGGCTGGTATTACTCTATTTCCATTTTACTGATGAAGACAGTGAGATAAAAAAGCAGCCTCAGAGTTTGCCTAAGATCATGGGGCATGGACCACAACTCCATGTTTCTAGAGCTGAAATACTTTTGCTTCCTCTGGCTGCCCTAACCCCTTGGTTCTCAAAGGAAACAGGAGGACAAATTTTCTTAAGCCTTTTCCTCAACAGCAGGCTTGCCTGATTTGCTCAGATAATTGTTCTGTTCTCCATCTGGTCTTTCCATTGAAGACACCGCCTGAGGCATGCTTGTTTTGTGCACAGGGGGTCCTATCTCCCCCTCTAGACTGTCAGCCCTTTAAGGGAAGCTGCCAAGTCTTTGTCTTTCTGCAGCACCTAGTGTCTGGGGCAGGGCATGTGGCAGAGTGCATTCGAAATTCCAGGGTTTCACTGTGAACTCCTCCTTTGTAACTTTTAGGGAATGAGATCCAGGTGCGTCACTTGAGGCTGGTTTCAGACTCAAATGCAGCCAATATTCACTGAGCGCTTCTTCCGTGCCAGACCCATGTGTTCTCACACCTCTCATTTAATCCTATTCTTGGATTTTTAGTAGAGACAGGGTTTCACATGTTGGCCAGGCTGGTCTCAAACTCCTGACCTCAAGTAATCCACCTACCTTAACCTTCCAAAGTGCTGAGATTTAGGCATGAGCACTGCACCCAGCCCATTTAATCCTATTCGTTATTTGGTACTCTGATGTTAACTTTAGAACCTAATCTCTCAGCACTAGGTATCCTTGTCCCACTTTAGGTGATCAATGATGGGGACCTGAACAAAGCACTATGAGTGGGCATGGGGGATGTGGATGGATTTAAAGTGTTTGTACGGTGGCTTCAACATTACTTGATTGTGATGACTTATAATAACTGGCTTGACAGGCTAATTGATTAGATGTGAGGGTGAGGGAAAAACATCACTGAAAGTTAGGGCTGGAAAGAACTTTAAAAATCACCTACTACAACCAGGCGTGGTGGCTCATGTCTGTAATCCCACTACTTTGGGAGGCCGAGGCAGGCCAATCACCTGAAGACAGGAGTTTGAGACCAGCCTGGCCAACATGGTGAAACCCTGTCTCTACTAAAAATATAAAAATTAGCCCGGCAGAGTGGCGGGTGCCTGTAATGCCAGCTATTTGGAAGGCTGAGGCAGGAGAATCGCTTGAACCCAGGAGACGGAGGTTGCAGTGAGCCAAGATCGTGCCACTGCACTCCAGCCTGGGTAACAGATCAAGACTCTGTCTCAGGAAAAAAAAAATCACCTAATATAGTCAATTATAAATGGAGTGACTGTGGAGTGAAAGGTGAAGTGGTGGCCCTAGGTTGCAGAGTCAGGTGCCAAAGGTGAGTGATGAGAACCTAAGGTGTCTCAGCTGTCAGTCAGACACCACTTGTTGCTAGTTGTTTGACTGGTTGATGATATTCAAAGGCCATTTTGTTGAAAATGGTTAGAATGCCAGATAGAGTTATACAAAGGCCTTTAAAGCACAAGGAATACAAAAAAATCATCATCTCAGCATTACTTATATCACTGGGACACTGTCGCCGTCCCAGCATTTTGGCAGTGGCTAAAAAGATTATGACACATCCAAGTGATGGGATAGTCTGATATAATTAGAGACAGTGGCTGTGACTTTTGATGATTTTGGAAGATGTGCAAAAAGGCAAGAAGAGGACAGAAAGTTACATGAGCAACACGACTTCAGCTTTGCAAAACTAATAT